ACCTGAGCGGTCTATACACACAGACTGAACTGTATATCTGCATCTGTCTAACACATACCAAACCAATTATAAACTTGTACGACGATGTGACTAACGATATTATTATTTTTATTATTATTATTATTATTACAGGTAACTACAATTCTTAGGTCCTGATCGTTTCCAACTTCTCGTAGGTTGAAAGATTGCCAAGACTGTTCTCACTACAGACACTGCACCTCCTGGCCACACTCACAACACCGCCTGGCCACACTCACCCCACCGCCTGGCCACACTCACTACACCGCCTGGTCACACTCACTCCACCGCCTGGCCACACTCACTACACCGCCTGGCCACACTCACTACACCGCCTGGCCACACTCACTCCACCGCCTGGCCACACTCACTCCACCGCCTGGCCACTCAATGCACCTCCTGGCCACACTCACTACACCTCCTGGCCACACTCACTACACCGCCACACCCACCTCACTCCACCGCCTGGCCACTCACTGCACCTCCTGCCCACACTCACCCCACCCTCCACCACACTCACTACACCGCCTGGCCACACTCACTCACACCGCCTGGCACACACTCACTACACCGCCTGGCCACACTCACTCCACCGCCTGGCCACACTCACTACACCGCCTGGCCACACTCACTCCACCGCCTGGCCACACTCACAACACCTCCTGGCCACACTCAATGCACCTCCTGGCCACACTCGTATCTTTGTTTATATTTCTGCCTCAGGTACAGAGACACCTGATGGCCTGTGTTTGGTGAGCAGTTACGCCATGTTGTGCTACACATAACATGAAGCAGGAGTGTTATCCCACCTTACCTGTGTAGCCAGTCTCTTCAGGTTCATGTGGTTAGGTTAGGTTATCCACGACAGAGCTTAAGGTTCCCGCCAACTACTATAGCGAGGCTTCTGGTGACGCCACTCACTACCTTACCGGTACAATCATTCACAACTGAGGCGGAAACACTGTACTATTATCGTCAACGGTCACTAACGATAACCTAACCTAACCTAAACCTAACACTAACCTAACCTAACCTAACTATAATGTTAACTAAACCTATTAAGCCACAAGACTAAGTTGTTAAGTACAACCTACTATTAAACACACACAGGAAACTGATATAAAACACAAGTGTGAAAATAATTATAAAAGAGGAAACGATGATAAGCTAAATGGCGACTTCCGCCCCATAACACACACACATCACTTCCGGTTAAGGGCGTGTATAGTGACTGTACGTGACACTATATACTATGCCATGACACCACCACCATTGGCCAAGGTCTTTAATGAGAGTACTAATTAAATAATAAGCGGCCGTGTATAGTCATGAGAGAGAGAGAGACTAAAGATGAGTATTTCGACTGATAATTAAAACATCCTTAAGCTACCAGGCTAGTTAGGTTAGGTTAGGTCAGCCGTAGGGTGTAGTGATGGGTTGTCAGACCACAGTTTACATCTCAGAAACAGTCCAGACCTGACCCGACATTAGGGGGGTCAAGTGTAAGGGTAACCCTCGCGGCTGCCCAAGGGTTACAAATCAACCAGGCTCCCCTCCACATGTAACACAGCCCCAACAAATATGTAAGACACACAGTGAGCTAAGGAGCCACCGGCGGGTCCTCCCCCAATGTACACAAAGAACCTATAGTACATCTCAGACAAGGCCCAGACCTATCCTCACATTAACCAGGTAAAATGTAACCCTCGAGCCCAAGTCAAGGGGCCACAAATCAACCAGAGCCTCTAATGTCACACGGCCCCACCAACGATGTTAACAGGCAAGCATTCATCTGAAGATGTCTCTAGAATATACAACAACTTATAGTCTCAGAAAAAGTCCAGACCTGACCCTACATTAGTGAGGCAAATGTGAGACCCTTGCCCCCGATCAGCTCAACCTGACGGCTGGTCTTCCAATATATAGGACGTCCTAGCCCTCCCTCACGAGAGTGTGTCTTGTAACCAAGAAGGGCCAGCTACCACGTCCCCAGTCCCGCTCGAGAGAAGCCCGCCACTAAGTGTAACGAAGTCTCAGCCGGGTCCATCGACAGAGTGCTGTCAACTCAACGTGTAACAGTAAGTGCTGGCTGTGTAGACTGTGGAAGTGCAGTGATCCCGAACCTCCCCGACGATCGACTTAGTGAAGTGCCCATTCTAATTGTGAGGTTAGGTTATACGAGAATACCATAGTCTATCATAAATTGTGTACGAACCCCCCCCATTAATCCCCCCTATTGAACTGGTAAAATAAAGCCGTAACACACATTGGTGTTTTATATACTACACTTGTACTGTGCCTGTGTTAATATACAGTGTTAACATCACACCCTCGAGACACGCTACCATTTCCTCTCACTATAATACTCTACTACTATAAACTCCTAGCTTACCTCTTCATGTGAGATTTTGTCTCATTATAAGGGTAAAGTGGGGTTAAGTTGAGATAAGGGTAAAATAAGCTGGAGGGGTTAGGTTAGGGTAAGGGGCGGGGTTTAAAGGGTGACATAAGCTGGAGGGGGTTAGGTTAGGGTAAGGGCGTGGTTTAAAGGGTGACATAAGCTGGAGGGGGTTAGGTTAGGGTAAGGGCGTGGTTTAAAGGGTGACATAAGCTGGAGGGGTTACATACACAGTGAGACAGACAACCAAAACAGTACTCACACTCCGTCATGACCCCACCAGCGGCTCTTGCTCCAGTTCTTATTTTTTATGTACAGTTTTTCCCGGAAGATTAACGACAGTCTGTTGGAGTACCTGCTGACTGTTTCCTCCTGGATGGTGTCTAGCTTCGAGTAGGAGGACGACGGTGAGGAGGAGGTGAGAGGACTGAGGTGGGAGGTACTGAGGAGGTGAGAGGGACTGAGGAGGTGAGAGGTACTGAGGAGGTGAGAGGGACTGAGGAGGTGAGAGTACTGAGGAGGTGAGAGGGACTGAGGTGAGGAGGTACTGAGGAGGTGAGAGGGACTGAGGAGGTGAGGTACTGAGGGAGGTGAGAGGGACTGAGGAGGTGAGAGGTACTGAGGAGGAGAGGGACTGAGGAGGTGAGAGGGCACTGGAGGAGGTGAGAGGGACTGAGGAGGGAGGAGGTACTGAGGAGGAGGTGAGAGGTACTGAGGAGGTGAGAGGTAGTGAGGAGGAGGTAGGACTGAGGAGGTGAGAGGGATTGAGGAGGACAAATTGGAGGAGCGCAAGTGGAAGGAGAGCGAAGGAGGAGGAAGGAGTGATGACTGAGGTGAGGTGGAGTCTGGATGTATGGAGAAGGACTTGGAGGAGGTGTGTGACTGTGGACTACCCTCACACCCCACCTCACCATCACCACCGTCTTCACCCTGATTATCACCATCCAAAAGGTGGTCGAAGGCATCAATGAAAGGCTCGCCAGCATCTTTAGGCTTATCATCAGTATCATTTAATTGAGTGAAGTGCTGAGGGCGGGTGTTGGTGCAGGCCTTCACCCCCACCAGTGTCGTCTTTACCAACATCTTCCTTTACTAAAAAGTTTGACAACTCTCTTCTGTCATCACAACACACGGCAGTCAAACAACTCGATAAACAAAACAAGGAAACTTAACGTCAATGTCTTAAACAACACCGCGGCGGGTGAGGGGCTGGTCTATACTAACACAACACACTGGAAACATTGTACAGAAAACATCAAAGTGTCTGGCAATAATAATTCATAAACAGCTCAGCCGTTGTTGCCGTACTGTGAATAAACACTAATAATAAGATCACTTGACAGCAAATATTCCCCACCTTCAGTCCTCCACCACACACTGAGGGGTAACAAGACGTGAGCCAATAGACGCCATAAGCCAACCCACCATGACAACGACTGTATCCCCTCACATAATTTCGTTGTTAAAGTTCATTAGCAATCCTGAAAACTCCATAAAAAACGTAACGGTACTACACAGGATGCTGTTTCCTGTAGCAGTGTATAATATCAAGAGTACAGTAGACTTTCACTTATTGATGTGATAAGTTACCCTGACTCGTCACCACACAACACACTCAAGAAAAGGTGTAAATTAAACCACGAGAACCGGAGAGATAAACAAGTCTGACCTTGGAATGATCACAGGTTCTGACGTTATAGAGAGACAAGCAAGAGAGACAGAGACAAACAAGAGAGACAGAGACAAACAAGAGAGACAGAGACAAACAAGAGAGACAGAGACAAACAAGAGAGACAGAGACAAACAAGAGAGACAGACAGAGACAAACAAGAGAGACAGAGACAAACAAGAGAGACAGAGACAAACAAGAGAGACAGAGACAAACAAGAGAGACAGAGACAAACAAGAGAGACAGAGACAAACAAGAGAGACAGACAAAACAAGAGAGACAGAGACAAACAAGAGAGACAGAGACAAACAAGAGACAGAGACAAACAAGAGAGACAGAGACAAATAAGAGAGACAGAGACAAACAAGAGACAGAGACAAGGAGAGACAGAGACAAACAAGAGAGACAGAGACAAACAAGAGAGACAGAGACAAACAAGAGAGACAGAGACAAACAAGAGAGACAGAGACAAACAAGAGAGACAGGAGACAAACAAGAGAGACAGAGAGACAAATAAGAGAGACAGAGACAAACAGAGAGACAGAGACGCAAGAGAGACAGAGACAAACAAGAGAGACAGAGACAAACAAGAGAGACAGAGACAAACAAGAGAGACAGAGACAAGCAAGAGAGACAGAGACAAACAAGAGAGACAGAGACAAACAAGAGAGACAGAGACAAACAAGAGAGACAGAGACAAACAAGAGAGACAGAGACAAACAAGAGAGACAGAGACAAACAAGAGAGACAGAGACAAACAAGAGAGACAGAGACAAACAAGAGAGACAGAGACAAACAAGAGAGACAGAGACAAACAAGAGAGACAGAGACAAACAAGAGAGACAGAGACAAACAAGAGAGACAGAGACAAACAAGAGAGACAGAGACAAACAAGAGAGACAAACAAAGACTCACCCACTCTGCTTCCTCGCGTTCCTTCTCCATGTGTAAAACAATCTCGACTCTGTAGGGAAGATGGAATACTGTCAGGTGCTGTAGGTAGGTGATGCTACTTTTTTTTAAATGGCCTCCAGCCTCCCCTAAATAGCCACACCTACGCCGCCATTTTATTACATTACTATTATTACTACTACTACTACTACTACTACTACTACTACTACTACCACCACCACCACCACCACCACCACCACCACTACTACTACTACTACTACTACTGATTTTGCCAAACACACACACACACACACACACGTTACCTGAGCTATTCTCCATTACTGTTAAGCGCGGCAGCTGGTCACGCCTACCACCACCTGTACACAAGAAAAGACAATGACATAATTATTTTTATAATCTTCATCTTTAAATAATAATACAATTAATAATCACAATAATAATAATAATACAATCTCTTTTTTTCGTGTCAATCTAATGCCATTTTTAACCTTTTTTCTGGTAGTTTCAAGTCAGTGATAAACGCGTCCATACACCTTCATTTACTAGAGCAAATAAACCACCTGAAGATTAGACCCACCACCTTATCTCATCTGAAGGGGAGTTTAGGTTTAGATTAGGTTCATCTCAAGGTGAAATAGAGGGGGCGCAATGTGGCAGGGGGGGGGGGCGCAATGTGGCAGGGGGCAAATGCAGGACAGCGCAGTTTTTTTTTTTTTTTAGTTTAACAAATTTGGTGACTAAGCTTGTAGTACAGTTTGCCTATTGTGAGTAATTCAGTCAGGTCTTAACACTGAGGGTGGTATCACTTCTCACTGCCACGTAGGACAGAGGTTCATACACAAAGAAATACATCATATATATGGTGTCCAGATCGAACTCGGACTGTCCGGTAAGTTAGAGGCGTTTTCATAACCCCACGAGGAACGAGAAGCCACACAAACACAGGCGATATTTTCCGATCAGTCTCTAAGTCCGGGTCCAGTTCGCTAAATCCGGGTCTAGTTCGTTAAATCCGGGTTTAGTTAGTCACATCCGGGAACAGGTAGAAAGTCCGGATCTGGTTCATTAAGTCCGGGATCAAGCTAAAAGCAAATCCGTGAAGCTGGGATTTCCTCGACACACACACACACTTTCTGTACCTGTGTCTCACCCGGTGACCGCTGGGAGGTGCGGCACACACACACACACATAAATTTTTTACGAGCGTGTTGACCAGGAAGACATCATCACCTCATGGCCAAACAATTACCCAGGGGATCAACGCCCGCCCTCACCCTACGGTCCACACTGGTTGGAGGACCGCCCTCACCCTACGGTTCACACTGGGGGGTGGGAGGACCGCCCTCGCCCTTACCACCCACAGATACAAGGGCGAGGGTCGTGCTGCCTGGGGGGGCCCTATGACTAACTCAGGGATTTCCTCCAATTTCTCCCAATGTCACAGATCGCGGCGTGGAGGAGGAGCTGACCCCGCGCCCTGCCTCATGTTCAGCTGGTCTGTGTGTATCTGGGGGGGGAGAAGGCGGGTAAAGGGAACGGGGGAGAGAAGGAAGTGGGGGAGGAGGCTGGGGAGAAGATTGGGAATTGATAGCAGTGTATTACTTTAAGGGTCACCTGAAGATTAACCCCCCCCCCAGTTCTTACTTTTTTCTTCACCTGGTAATTGACCTCCCTAATGTTACCAAGGGAAGTTATATTAGGTTAGGCCCTGAGAGAGAGACACACACTCAGCCGCTCCACAAACATCTTTTTTTTTTTACAACTGGACGATATTTTTCCTCACCACACTCAGTGCTCCAGTCTGCTCACCTCAACACACAAAAATCATCACCTTGAACACTGACTCACACACAACTACAAAACACTGTGAGCGTCTTAGTGGTGTGTCGTGTACATTGGCCTTAACATTTATAACACACACACAATAATAGTCACCCAATAAACGCATAACAACCACGGTTATGGCTTATATATTCTGACGAGCTATTTGTGATTCAACCCAACGAAACGAAACCCAACCCAACAAACTAACAAAAACTTTATCCAAATCTACGTAAAAAAAATTAACCCGACCACAATGAACCTAAATAGCCCAACGTAGCCTAAACACTTATTTAACCTAACCTTAACCTAACCTAACTAACCCAACGCAACGTAACCTACAGTAACCTAACCTTTGAATCATCCCAACACAGGTATAATTCTCACTTGTCCCCGCCGTGTCCAGGTGTGTGTGAGGGTAGGGGGGGGGGGCTCGCACCTGTGGGAGTATGACAACAAGGCCTCAGACGAGTTGGCCAATCAGCACTTTCTGTTATTAATGTCAACACTTATGGTAACTCCGGGGGCTGGCTCAGGCCAACGACCTCTGGTATCCTCACCTGGTTTCAGCAAGTCGGTGTTGAGTGGTGAGGATAGCTTTAACTGCCCGCACCAGGCAGTGTGGACGGCAGACGGTGTGGACGGCAGAGTGTAGAAGGCGGATAGTGTGGACGGCAGACAGTGTGGACGGAAGAGTGTAGACGGCAGATAGTGTGGACGGGAGACAGTGGGCGGCAGACAGTGTGCGGTAGACGTTCACGAGAGATAAAGTCCGTTACCGTCAATGTGAGCCATCATCCACCGCGGCGTCACTACTGCTGGGTCGTCAAACAAGGTCGTATCATAAACACCAATCAGTCTACAGCTTCAACAACACACCCTGACTCGTTACTGTCTAAAAGGTCCGACTTAAGAGGAGGTGGTGTGAGAACCAGGTGAGCAGGCGAGGGCTGGCACACTGCTATACTCACCTCCCCATCTCCTGCTGCTGGAGGAGGAAGCAGTACCCCTCGTCACAGTGCTTCCTGGAACACCTCTCACCGGCAGTGTGGTATTCCCTTCTGCCTACGCCGCCGGGAGCTTGAACTGTAATGCTTGTAGAGGGTAATTAAAGGTGCTGTACGGGGCGTTACGGTGATCTAAATCTTCTTTGACATTTTCTTATGAGTAAACCATACGATTTTTCTTGATGACTGGCCGTCCACCGCCGCCCTTGTTTACCAACACTGAAAAGGCGTCTGTGGCAGGTCCTGTCATGGACGCGTTATTTATGACCAACACCACGTCAAGCTACTCAGAACCCCGGATCTAACACACACACACAGAGTCATGGCCCGAAGGTGATGGTCAGCCCAATAGGAGCCAAAATGTCACCAGAGACAATATTCTGGATAATCATCAATCAAGAGAAACAAAAAATAGGTGATAATCCACAAGCAAGCTCTTCAGGTTATTTGTGTGTCAGGCGTCAGGGAGGCGTTCAGAGAATTGTTCCACACGACGGCACACGACACAAGAGAGAGACCAGAGGTAAATATGCGAGTGACATACCAACATGTGAGGTGGTGGGGTGTTAGTGAAAAATTCCACATTGTTTATTTAGTTCAGTACATAGACGTTTACTTAGCTACTATAGGTGCAGAATCAGCTATCTTGCCACCAGAGTTCAAATTTTTGTGCCATTACACACACAGTATGCTTGGTCCTGCCTCTATTGTGACAAAAGCTGCAATAAAGGCGTCTTCTTCACACACACACACACACACACACACACACACACACATAAGGGCCTAGTGTTTTCTGAGGTGAGTTTTAGGCCTAGACTCAACTCTCCCACTTAGTTGAATTAAAGATAATGGAGGCTGATCTCTGACGTAGAATTTGGTTCTTGTTTCATAAATATACCGACGAGTAACACATCGCTGGAAGGAACCTTGTGACCATTTGTATATCTGACAACTGTTCGCGTCATCTGTAATTACATTTCATTTTTTCATTGTCTCTCTGACGTCAATAGCAAGTCTGGGAAGGCCGGGGGTGACCCTCTGGACCCCCCCCCCTCATGATGATCACCATCACTTGTTTGATTCACTAAAAATTTTGTCATCTTTTGTTCACAACACCGCCAAATGGACACCCAAACACGGCGTAAACCTACTCTATAAACAGAAGGTTACGGTGAGGACATTCCTGTACGCTGTTTCTGGGAACTGTGTAACAAAACAAGGTGTTGGGAGGCACAAGTAAACAGCACTGATACCGCCCCGGCAAGCAGCAGGAGGAAGTACCACTCAGGGCAAGGGAGGCGGCGTGACGCTAGGCCCCCTCACCTGCCAGCTCCCTCCACTCCTGTTCCCTGAAGCTCACTCAACTGATGACAGTTTTACGTCTGTCATCCCTTGCTGTAGTGTTACGTGGGGGAGGAGAGTCTAATGAAATAAAGTAATCAATTAACCGTTTTTATTTCCTATGTAGTGTGGTGATGAGGCCAATGCGGGTCAGTTTACGCGACACAGTCCTCGGTAAACAAAAAATGAAGCCATCTAGTCGGTGTTTTTACAAGATAAACTTAATAACTGCAATAAGGCATTCGCAAAGGCTACAGCGTCTCCTGTACCTATCTCCAGACGCCACAACCAAACCTAACCTAGCCAAGCCTAACCTGACCTAACCCGACCTGACTTAACCCGACCTGACCTAACCCGACCTAACCTAACCTAACCCGACCTAACCTAAGAGTAGGAACAGTGTGCAGTAAGCAACTGTTGGGTGAGGAGTTGCCTGTTAGTAAATATTGGGTCAGGTGTATAAGTCTGTATATACAGTAGAGTATACCCTGTCTCTCTACCACCACACACTGAGGGTATTGGTGACCTCTAGTGTAACCAAAAGGGTATTGGTGGCCTCTAGTGTAACCAAAAGGGTATTGGTGGCCTCTAGTGTAACCAAAAGGGTATTGGTGGCCTCTAGTGTAACCAAAAGGGTATTGGTGGCCCCTAGTGTAGCCAAAAGGGTATTGGTGGCCTCTAGTGTAACCAAAAGGGTATTGGTGGCCCCTAGTGTAACCAAAAGGGTATTGGTGGCCCCTAGTGTAACCAAAAGGGTATTGGTGGCCCCTAGTGTAGCCAAAAGGGTATTGGTGGCCCCTAGTGTAACCAAAAGGGTATTGGTGGCCCCTAGTGTAGCCAAAAGGGTATTGGTGGCCTCTAGTGTAACCAAAAGGGTATTGGTGGCCCCTATTGTAACCAAAAGGGTATTAGTGGCCCCTATTGTAACCAAAAGGGTTGTAGTGATGGGTTGTCAGACCACAGCTTACATCTCAGAAACAGCCCAGACCTGACCCGACATTAGGGGGGTCAAGTGTAAGGGTAACCCTCGCGGCTGCCCAAGGGTTACAAATCAACCAGGCTCCCCTCCACATGTCACACGGCCCCAACAAACATGTAAGAAACCACCTGCCGACTCTCTCCCAATATACACAACTACAGTACATCTCAGACAAGGCCCAGACCTAACCTCACATTAGCCAGGTAAAATGTAACCCTCCCAAGTCAAGGGGCCACAAATCAACCAGAGCCTCTCATGTCACACGGCCCCACCAACGATGTTAACAGGCAAGCATTCATCTGAAGATTTCTCCAGAATATACAACAACTTATAGTCTCAGAAAAAGTCCAGACCTGACCCTACATTAGCGAGGGCAAATGTAAGGAGACCCTTCGCTGCCCCCCCCCTGGATCAGCTCAACCTGACGGCTGGTCTTCCAATATATAGGACGTCCTAGTCCTCCCTCACGAGAGTGTGTCTTGTAACCAAGAAGAGCCAGCAACTACGTCCCCAGTCCCTCGTAGCCCTCCTTCAGGGGAGCAGCGAGAGGGAGTCAGAGAGACAGAGTCGGGGAGAGAGAGACACACAGGGATCGGAGGAGGAGGTTCACCACAGCCCAGTCCCGCTCACGGGAGGAGAGTCACGCAAGACTTCCCTGCCTGACTTCCCTCCGGTGTCCAGCTAAGCAGTCTCCCTGCTAGGGTCTCCCCCAGGTCACGTGAGTTTTGTCAGAGCTTTCCATGGGATGAGTTACGTGGGAAGTGTATTCATTTAATTTTCGTGTCCGAATATCAGTGTCTAGTAACGTAATATGATGTCCTAGTAACGTAAATATAATGTCCTAGTAACTTCGATAGAAGGTGTTATTAATGTGTCCATGTCATTGTCGTAATTAATGAACAGTTGTAACGAAGCGGTGTTTGAGAAGTCGCCCTTAAGAACGTAATAGATGTGTGTTGACGTATGAGATGAGATAAGTGTATTGACAGAGTAAATAACTAACACGGCCACGCTACCAAAATCTTCCTCTCTTTTACTCTCTTACTAAATATTCTTCCTATATATATATAAATATTCTTCATGCAAGATCCGTCTTGTTATAGGGTGATAGTGGCCCTATTGACAAAGAATTATTAGTGGCCTTTGTGACCAAAAAGGGTATTAGTGGCCTATTGTAAGCAAAAGGGTACTGGTATTTAATTGTAACCAAAAATTATTAAGGGCCCTATTGTAACCAAAGGGTATTAGGCCTATTGTAAGCAAAAAGCAAAGGGACATAACAGTTTAAAGACAATAGACAGGTTATTTGAAGTTATGGAACTATCATGTGTTGTATGAGTCTGACCGATCTTGATTTGTGGTCTCAGAGCTATGAGAGATGGCTGTAATCATCATGTGTGTGTGTGTTGGGATTGCATATGCACAGAGGTCAGTGAATCAGTCCTTAACTACACAAAATAAGTCATAACAGTAGGGGTGAGGAGGAAAGAAAGGATGGAGTGAAGGGGTGTGGGATGGGGGGGGTGGGTGTTAGGTTAGGAGGGTGGGAGAGGAGGGGAGGGGGGGGGTAGGGTGTTGTCTTCATCGTGGGTTTAATAATTATACTGTTTAGTTTCCATCTTGGCTGCTGCTTGCAAGGATCATTATGTTCAAGTTATGCGTGCGTGTTTAATTGGATTTCCATGCATAAGTGTTTGCTTGCCTTGGTGTGTGTGTGTGTGTGTGTGTGTGTGTGTGTGTGTGTGTGTGTGTGTGTGTGTGTGTACCATGGGGGCAAGAATGGCCAATCATCTTAATCCTTGAAACACGCAGTCGACACACAGGGACTTGTTGCCACCTGGACGCTACAAGTGCAAGACACACGAGGACCTCTGGCGGACTGAAGGGTTGGTTGTTCTGACGCCTTCAGGAGATGGTGCAGTCCTTGTATCATTACACCGTTGAAACTCCTCCACTGATTAGCCACACTTAAAACTCCTCCACTTATTAGCCACACTTAAAACTCCTCCACTTATTAGCCACACTTAAAACTCCTCCACTTATTAGCCACACTTAAAACTCCTCCACTTATTAGCCACACTTAAAACTCCTCCACTTATTAGCCACACTTAAAACTCCTCCACTTATTAGCCACACTTAAAACTCCTCCACTTATTAGCCACACTTAAAACTCCTCCACTTATATAGCCACACTTAAAACTCCTCCATATTAGCTCACCACACTTAAAACTCCTCCACTTATTAGCCACACTTAATCTCTTATTAGCCACACTTAATACTCCTCCACTTATTAGCCACACTTAATACTCCTCCACTTATTAGCCACACTTAATACTCCTCCACTTATTAGCCACACTTAAAACTCCTCCACTTATTAGCCACACTTAAAACTCCTCCACTTATTAGCCACACTTAATATTTGATCTAGAAAACCATTAGTTATTTTATACTGTACATATTTTGTTTACCATTTTTATTTTGACTTGTGATTTATTTTTACGAAGTTGAATTTCTGATATGAAAAGATTCCCAACATGTGGTTAATGTACACTACACTACACTATACACACCCACTACACTACACTACACACCCCCACTACACTACACACCCACTACACTACGCACCCCCACTA